ATCCTAATAATAACTCATGTTACTTTCTATAAGGGCAGCAGTATTACTTAGTCTTGTTGCTGAAACATAATAAAAATAGGCTGTGGAATAGTGATTTTTATGCCAGCAAACTTTGCTTCTCTCTCAAGAATGGAAGAGAAGCACATTACAGTTGCTGAGTGGTTCTAAGAGATCTAAGAGATCTCTACCCTACTCTTTCAAAACATTAACATTGTCTAGTAAGGTTCCCAAAATTCAGATCTGAAAATTTAACTGACAGGGTGACAGGGTGAATTGCCCGGATGAGCTCAAGATTCAGGGGTTTTGTTTTTTAAATGAACCAAATTCAGTTTCAGTGTCTCCTAGACACCAAGAAGCTTTGTGTCTAATTAAAAATACCTGCCTTCTATTTATAAATACAGAAAAGGACAGAAACATTAAGTAATGAAGGAATAGGTTGTCTATGGAGATTCTCAGTCATCCAGATCATTGTTGTCCCAAAGGTGCTTTTTCAAAAGGCACTTGGACTTTCTTTGTTTTTTCTTGAAGATTTTTCACTTCTCATCCAAGAAGCTTCTTCAGTTCTGACTGAATAGTGGAGAGTGGAAGGATTTCTACAGTATTCTTGCAGCCATCTGGTCGTTAGCACTCTTTCTGAGAGTTGTGGAGGCCACTTGGAGGTTTATCTGTGCCCTCAGGGTCACCTGAATAGTGCAAATGGGTGTGTGGAATCTTCTTGGAACTGCTGAAAGGGCTGTGTTACAACACAGAAGATTCCACACCTGGCCAGCTGTAATTGCTAGAGCTTTTGGAATTGAAGTGAACTGAAGTAATAGAACCTATCTGGAATGGTGGAGAGAGTGGACAGCTAGAGAAAGCAGCAGGGAGCAGTCTCACTAGGTTTGACAAATTAGTATTTTGTGACACTTATCCCGGTAGCCATTTTGTGTATAAACAGTGCCTCCCAACAGTGCATCCATTTTGTGGAAGGACTCACAATACGGAGAGGAGGTTCTTGCTTCCCATCCTCTTTAAAAGCAGTAGCAATCCGCATCTTGAAAAGAAATCTACAACTATTTTGAAAAATAGAAATAGACCACATCTTATAAACCTGACATGAGTAAATGTTAGAGAGAGCTGCAGCTGCAGTTTCTTAGTGAAGAAAGTAATACTGTTTTCAACTCAGAGCAAGGACATTTGGCTGGTGATAAATCTTGCACACACACAATTTCCTTCATGCCCTTCAGTTACCTTTTTAATGTAAGATTTGGCAGCAGCAAGATAAACATTATACTGTAGGTTCTTCTTTGCAAAACTTTTCCATTGTACATGGTATACATGCTAATTTGAGAATGGAACTTTCCCCAAATCAGCAAGGTCTTTCCTGCCTAATCTTGCTTTCCCAAAGAAAACCTGAGTACTAGAAAATCAGAATCAAGCAGAGTCGAGTCATTCCTTTTTTAAAGGACGCCTCCTATGTTATGCCTTACAAGAAAAGATCTTAGAAAGCTTTTCTAGACATGGAGATTGTAGCAGACCAGCTGAGCCCATAGGAAAAGAGATTTTCAATATGTCCTTTTCACAAGCTTCTCGGTCTTCATATCCTGGCCCAACTTGCCTGCCTGAGGCAGCAGCTGTCACACCTAATTTCAATGGTGAAACCTCCTAGCAATATGGTGTAGAGGTATTTCACTACATGATTAGCCTTCCCTTCTATCCTTGGAAGATAAACCAATCTCATCAGAAATAAAGAAAACCAAATCTTTTTTCAAAGAAAAAGTAAACATAGCATGCAACTGCCTTTTAACTGTAGTTATCAAAATGTAAACATCTTATATAGAAAAGTGTAAACAATACATCTGCCTAAATCATAGATGTCAAGCTCGCCATGTCACGTGACGTGTCGCGATGTATCGCAATGTTTTTTGCATTGCCGAGCTGGGGTGGGTACGGTCTCCATATGATGCAACGGGCCTGCGGGCTGGCAGTTTGACACCCCTGGCCTAAGTCATTGACAAATTGAAAAAAAATTACAGAAGAAAATTCAGTGGTCCAGGTGGACCACAAGATGGCACTGATCTACTACAAAGAGAGCCATCCTAGCCTTTGCAACATCTTGAAGAGATGCTGTGAACAATTTTCTTGTATTACAAATTATAAAAATAAAGACAATATTATTCCTTCTTGTACAATCTGGATATGAATAAAAAGTCTGAGACTGCACAAATTCCTGATCTTATGCAGAGAACAGAACTTACACAGAGGAAGTCCTGATTTTATACAGAGAAATTAGACAATTTAGCACCATTTGGGGGGGGGAGAGAATATAAAACACAAATTCTTGACTAGACTGGTTACCTATTTTCTTGTAAAATAGCAATTTTCAAAACAAAAGTTCCTCTGTTCCAGCTATCTGGGCTTCCTTCAACTTCATGGGGAGATTTCATTTTGAGGTTGCTGAGAAGATGATAAACTTCATTATTGTGTAGCCTTGGTATACATATATTTCTGGAATTTCTTCTTTGAGTTCCACTCCTTGATTTTAAGAGGATTCCAAAAGCTTTATCTCTAGCATTCTGATTCTGCACATGTTGAAGAACCTTGTCTCACTTGCAGATGCGATTCTGAATCAGCCTGTCTAACATGTAGGCTGGCCTGACTGGCTGTCAATGTCAGAGCTGCAGCTAGTGCTGAACACAAGGAAAGTTTCTCTTGTTGATTCTTTGTTTTCTATGCAGCTCCTATAAGCAGTATAAGTACAACTACGTTTAATGTTGGCACAGCCCAGTGAATAAATAAAGTATCTAAGCAAAGATATTTCTGCTTTAGCTTGTACAAATAATGCCAAGAATAAAACCATAGATTTAAATAGATCTCTAGAGTTTAATCACAAGACCAATGACATTGAAGGCATGGGAAAACATTTAACTGTGTACAAGAGAGAATTGGACTCAGATTGCTCATGGACATAATGAATTGGGATTTGCATAGCATGCTGAGCTATAATATAGTATCTTTGGCTTTGGTTTACCATGAACCCAAAGCTGATGAATTGAGATTATGCCATTGGTAGGTAAGGATATTTGTCATAACCTAACCATCTACACTTTGTCTTTAAATTCCTTCATTGCAATAAGAGCTCCAACTATTCTAATTCATTCTGTCTCTAGTCCTGTTGTCTCTCCCTTCCCATCCCAACATCCCTAGAGTCTTACTTATAGCAAGCAAGAGGAGAGATCAGACAGACAGCATAGTCAAAGGAGGAAATGGCAAGAAAAGAAATTGGGCTGGCTGGCTTGCCTCTACTGGCATTGGGGGATTTAAAGCCAAGCACAGATTGCTCAGCCAGAATATCTACCAGTAGGCCCTAAACAGTGTTTCTCACCTTGGCAACTTTAAGATGTGTGGATTTCAACTCCCAGAATTTCCCAGCCACGCTAGCTGAGGAATGCTGAGTTGAAATCTACACATCTTAAAAGTTGCCAAGGTTGATAAACACTGCCTGAGAGTCTATAGTCACACTATTACACAAGAGAATCTCTGTAGAGCAATATCTTCTTTTACGCACAAAAAAGCCAGCTTCAATCACTCGTTAGTTTCATAAGTCTGTGGATCAAACATATGTATATTTTAACACTATAGCCTGCATGTAGGGATGATTTGAGAAAGGTTTATAAAAAAAAATCTTCAAAATCATCACTTATAACTGAACTAGTCCACTTCCCTGGATAAGTGAGAATATCTTGGAGAAATTCCAATACCTTTGGAGGGGGGGTTTAGATGGGAGAGATCTAAAAACTTGAGTGTCCTTGAAACATTTATTCTATAAACAGAGGCTTTTGGGGAAGGAAGGAAAGAAAGGTTAGACATATTTTAATGAAAATTTAATTAAGCCAGCAAAAGAGAATGAAGGTAAATATAGTTTCATAACAGACTTCAGAAATATTAATCTAACTTTGCATTTCCAGAGAGTAGTACAGTAATGTAAATTTCCACATTTTTCCTTCAGTTCATACTAGCTAATAATATTTCTCCTCCCCTCTCCCAGTTCCAACTGCAAAATTACAAAACACTTTCCTTGCTGCTCTTAATAGTTGGCATTCGTTATTTCTCCAATACAAGGAAAGAGATTTCTTGTCATTATTTCCCATCCAAAGAACACCAACTGAATATACTGTATCTGATCATTAGCAGTTTATTCCTCTCTAAGGAACAGATCAGCAATCCTGAAACCTACTCTACGAGTTCCTTCAAAATATTTTTTCCCAGAGTCCCAGCCTACTGCTACACTAAAGCAAATTTTTTCCCAATCTGCTGCCTTCCAGAAGTAGTGGATTTCAACTCCCGTAATTCTCCTCAGACCATACATTTGAAAAAAGCTGGAACTCTACTTATCTGACATGGGGAGTCTGCTTTACCACAACCAAGAAATTGAATTTATATTACAACTGTAGGACTATCTATTCAAAAGTTGCCATTGCATCCTTAAGTATTTCTACATTTGATATGTCAACCAGGATAGTAGCATTGCCCCTCTCTTTAAAGATTAAAGTACCAAGGGCAGAAAGCATAAAACTCTTCTATATCACTTGTGCATCATAGGAGTCTCCTTTACTTTTTCCCATATAAAAGGATGGTTGCCATGGTGGAAATAGTAATTTCTGAACTTTATAGATACAGTTAAAAACCAGTTTTGTAATTCCGTACAAACATCATCTTGTTTTTGCCCAACTCTTTCAAATGAAATAAAATAATTATGAATTCTGATATTAGACTCTAAACTGAGCCTGTTTCATGGCACATGACTTTCAGAAGCTTATTGACATTAGAAGCATGGAGGAAGACAATGCTCCCAAATTGATTGCAATTAATGTAATTAGTGCTTCACAATTTTTCCTAGCCTTGTCTCTTTGCCTTAGAGACCTTCATTCACTTAAACATTTACGTGCATTCTTAATTACCTTTAGTGAGTCAGCAGCAATGAATAGATACAGCTTTCTTTCTATTCATATTCTTCTACAGAAAAATAGCACCATGTTAATGGGCTGAATGGGAACGAGGAAACTTCAAATGCAAACCTCATTAGAGGTAAGAAACAAAAACACTAGGATCTGTAACTAATTCACACAATGGAGGAAGATTCCATTTTGCTTGGTTTAAATTGAATGGTCAGTTGTCTAAAAAGATATGTGCTATTCTACCCAATCCCTATTTTGCAAACACAAATTCAAAAAAAGTAAAAGTATAAAGAAGGTTGCTGCTACTACAGGACTGAAAAACTAGCTAGTTACATTTTGAAACATATCACTTGTGTTTCTTAGAAACTAGTCCAAGAAGAAACCTACACCAAGAAGAATCAATGCATAGAAGTGAGCAATTTTTGGACTGCTCACGGCATCCAGAAAGCCTTGGGATATCCATCAAAGCCTCCTGCCACCTTGCCTCGAATTTCAGCAAACTGATCTTAGATATCTATAAAGGTCAGCAAAAAGATGGGGGAGGGGCATGCACAAGGGGTTAATTTATTCATTTATGTTCAATTTTAGATTTATTTGTTTTAACGGTGTGCCCTGATGCCTCCTGCTTTTTTTTTTTTTTTTCTGGCTTACTGTTTGAGTATGTTCCCTCCCTCCAGTCTTTTGTTGAAACAAAGCCAAATATAGCATGGTGGCACAAACATTGTCTAGCCCTTATGGAATTATGATGACTAATAATAGCTGTTAGTTTTATTTTTCAGGAGTTTCTCTAATCTTTCTAAAATGACTCCGAGTGGGGACCATTTCTAAAACATGTGATAATGAATTCTGCTGGTTCTCTTGGGTTGGATGCCATTATTTAAAGGATCAGAATAGAATTTCTCATACTGTGTATCAGGATTAATAACAGCAAGCTTGGAAGAACCTTGTAATTTGCAGAAGTACTATATGATTGTGATTTGTTTATTTCTTGTTCAGGCTAAATGAAGGTGCATAACCATTCCAACAATAAAAAAAGAATCAATTGCTCAGAATACTACATAATGCTTACCTTACAGCTAATATGTGTGAATGGATATCACAGATATGGAATTTATAGATGTGACTGGTTAGTTGGCTGGAACAGTGAACAAAGTGCTCCATGTTGCTGAAACCACTTTATATCCAAAGATTAACATGTTGGCCACCGTGAAAGTGATGTTTGAGGACTGTGACATTTGTGATTTCAGTGCCACATTGCCACTGATTCACTGTGTGACCTTGGAATGTTTTTGTTAATCCCTTTGAGTAACAACAAGAGTGACTCTTCTAAGGAAATTATTTCTCAAAGAATCTAATCTGTTATCATTTGTTAATGTTTGAAAAGTCCTTTGGAAAGTAACTGCCAACTTGTGACTGAATTTAAAACAATAATTTTAAGAAGGAAAAGCAGGAAAAGTAACTTTGTTAGTTGAACGTTTAAAATAAATTTTAGAAATATTCTGGTCAAACTTTTTTTTTAAAAAAAGCTTGTTGCAGCCACCATCAAGCACTTTGAAAACTTTTTAATTTTGTGCCATTTCAAATGAAAATGACAGCCAAATTCTATCTTCAATTACATGTAAATATATAGTTTATAAAATATTGTTTATTCTATACAAAAGCTTCGTAATGTTCATACTATTTACTTTGAACGGCTTGATCAAATGTTTAGGTATTTTAGTTCCCCAAGTCAACACTTTTTAATTCTATATAATTGCTAATTTCTCATTGTTACTTTTTCCCCTTCAACATCAAGGTACTAGAGACATCTAATGGAAAAATTATGCATTGCTAGTCATACGATTCCAGAACAAGTCAATGATCAGTCTGGAGTGTTTGTTCTAATTTTTAAATTCTACGGCATTTTTTGCAAAAGATACTAGAAGTTCTGCTTGCACTTTTTGCCTCTCAAAATGAATATAAACCAACATAAAGTATAATATGTGTTAAATTTAAATCCTCTGTTTTCTGGCTTTCATTAGCAGTATTGCCCAGTGAAGTGATATAGTATGATATGATATGGTTGCTGAAAGATTAACTTAGGAATTCCCTATTCAAATGGTGAATGTGTCAGAAACAAAGTGTTGGGCTGTATCAGGAAAAAAAACTTCTTAGAGTCAAGCTCAATTCCTGGGGTCTTCTTTTCTTGGCAACAACATGAAACTGCTTTGCTACTTGCTCCTTCTATTCTTTTCTTTGTGGTTTTACCCTACCACTCTGCACCTTGAGATTTTTGGATGGACTGGCATTTCAATTCTAACCAGATCTGATTTTGCTTAGTTTTGTCAAGACCAGCCATTTGGGACCTTATGCAAGCCATTAATAACAACCTCTTCCCCCTCATTTCCCATACTACCGTATAGGACTGACAATATGATCCTTTTTTGATATCAACCTATGATGATCAAAATGAACACATACATATGGCAATTCTTTGATGCCCAGACAGAACCCAGAATTTTCCTCAGAAGGATCTGAGAAGCAACTAGTAGCCCACTCTTGACTGCAGACTGGCAGAGCAATAATGGCCATGAGGTAGGGGTGAGGAGGGGTGATAATATTTCCTTTCCATTATAAGCGAGAGATGGGAAATTATTTACATAGCCATCGGGTGGTTTAGATTCTGTCTGGATGGTGCAGGGGCAGAGGTTGGAGAAGTAAGGATCCTGGCAGAGGCTTACTGAGATCAGGATGGGAACAGCAGAGCAACAAAAGTTGATAGGCATGCAAGATGATTCCCTTTCTATGTCTTTGATCTTACAGGGGAAAGCCCATTCATCTTGGGAGAAGATCCCTGAGGCTACAGGACTGCATCAGGAAATGCTGCGTGTATAATTGTTATTTTAAAACTGTTATTAATTTAATTGCATAGGAAATGGTTCCCAAAGTTCTGTTCTTTCAGAATGTTTGTCAGAAATCAGGAGTGATTTTAGATCAGGGATGTCAAACTCAATTTCACTGAGGGCCGCATCAGCATTGCGGTTGCCCTTGGGGGGGGCGGGTGGGTGTGGCCAGAGTGGGTGCAGCCTACTGGGTGGGTGTGGCCAGTTCTACATCATTCGCGTCAAGGGTGCCTGTGGGGGCCTGGGCAGGAGTGGGACAGATCTGAGGGTTTCTGGCAGAAGGGGGTGGGACTGGGGCAAGTGCCAAGATGGCCACCACAAAATTGTACATTGGCTGGCCTGGGCCAGGGCCAAGGCAGAGGGGGCCGTTCCCTCACTGTTTCCAGAATGGCTTCACGGGCCACATGAAACCATTTCGCGGGCCGCATCCGGCCCCCAGGCCTTGTGTTTGACATGTCTGTTTTAGATGCTTTTGCATCAGAATCATCATTTTACACTGAATATAAATTATACCATGTTATTATAGACTACAAAATGGTCTGATAATTCAAGCCATTTTCTCCCCTCACTTCATCTCTGTACATTTATTTTCCAGTCATATAGATGTTACGAAACAGAAGATATAAATGTTTTTTCTTAATTGTTTTAGCAGAAAAAGAAGCAATAAATGTTAACATAAACATCAGAACTAGTTATACATATTATGTAGAAGGCAAAAGAGAAGAAAATTAAGAGAGGGACTGGTAGTTACTACAAAAGCAAACATTTCATATTCATCCTTGCCAGATTTAAGTTCTACCAGAAAAGCTGATTCAGTTAATCAGGCAATACAGTACGTGCACTGGAAAAAAGATGCTGTTGTAGCATGTACCGTACAGGGAGAGAGGTATCATTCCCAAGAGCCACACTGAGCCAGCTGGATCACACTAGCTACAAGAACAGGTGTGACAGTTGTTTTTACAGTCCCGCGAGGCCCTCTTCAGATTTGCTCACCCAATGAGCCAGACATAATGGGAACTGTCAAACTGATCTTAGAGTACTAGTGCCATTGTAACATGGAATGACTAAGATTTGCAGAAGTGAAACATTTTGAAGCCTGAAAACTTTACAGGCTTTTTATTCAGGAAAACAAGGAAAATGTGACTAGAATTCTATTCCCTCTGTGGGTAAAACAGATTACAAACAGCCCCTTTGTAACAAACCAGGTTTAGTTCTCTTTCCCCTTTATGGCTTCTGCCACTTCAGGGAAAATGGACTTGGCCATTACAGGCCAAGCCTTCAAAGTAAAGAGGTAGCTGGTGTTATTGGACTCTATCTCCCATCAACCCCATCATAGGATCAACAGTTCTGGATGACAAGCAGTAGAGACAAAATCTGGAGGATTAAACTTTATCTGTAATGAAAGTCCAAACAAAAAAAAAATGAGTCGATATATGTATCTCTATTAATCAACTTTCCAAACTGTTACTGTTGCTTTCAATCTGTTGTTTCTTTTTATCTGATTACTGTATTCTAGGAATTTGGGGGAGGTGGAAAATTTTGGAAAACAAGGGATGATTCAGGCCTTCTAATTTAGAATATGGCACCACATTAGCAACACAGAATATTTACTTTCCGTAAAGGGGATACAGCACTGACTTTTTATGAGATCAGCACTGTGCTTCTTGTGTTCACACAAAATGAAGACTTGTTATCTTCATTTTGAAATGTCTAAGTCTCTTTAAGGACAAGAACAACTTAGGAAAAAACAGTTTTAGAAGAAGTACAGCATATTAAAAAAATATGGAATTGAAGTAAGGATCTAAAACAGACTTAATCTGTTTGTCTAAATAGATAGTTATTTTGAAATATGCAGCCACTTCATCAGCTGAAAGAAAAGAAGAATTAGAACTAAAAGTTCTGACTGACTATTAAATATTAACAACAAAATGGTAAAGTCAAGCAGCATACTTAGTAAAATAGTTGACATGAAGAATAAGAACAGCTAAAACCTTTTTCTTAGTGGTAAAGTACACCTGTGAAAGCTGAACATTCAGAAAGAGTAAGAGAAAGAAAAGTACCTTCAAATATTGAATTGGAAATTGTTACTTAAGATACTATGGATTACAAGAATGTCAGCCCATTACAAAAAAGAACCAGTTAGTCATGAATCAACTAAACCATAAGTGCTACTTTGATCAGCAAGCAGAAACTCACATATTTTGGGCATGTGGTGGGAGCAATTAATGGGCTAAAAATACTGTGCTTGACAATATTTAGAAAAATAGTTATTCATTCAAATGAAATCCTTCACAGATTAAATAAATATGGGCATTGTAGTCACATTGATGAAGTTGGCTCTTAAGAATTACACACAATGCCCTTCCTATGTGAATGACCATTGAGAAGTAGTACTGGCAACATAATTATGCTAAATTGCATCTCTTTCCACAAAGTGAAATTAATAAGACCGCTCCAGGTCTGCTGAGGAATTTGAAAAATAAGAGGTGTCGGGCTGGCCCCATGACTACTGAGTCTTTTTCCTTCCAAAACTTGGAACTTGTTAGTTTGCATATACTGAATGTATACTGTATATTCGGTAGTATTCTTGGAGGGGTAGGGAACTTCTATTGCCAAACATGCTGAGAAGGATCTATTCATTTCTTCCCTTCAGTCTCTGTCAAATGACTTTACATATGCACAAACCTCAATAATATAAACATGGAACTGCATGTTTGTCTATATTTGGACCCTTATCACACCACCTCAGGTAGGGTGAAAGAATTTGATTGAGCTGCTCAATCAAAGTCTTTTCCAGACTTTGAGCAAAGATTATAGACACAATGCTGGGGAAGAAGAGAGAGGAAGAGAAAATAAATATCTGATTTTCTCTCCTTTATTGCAATTTCCTTATATTAGTGGATGCAGTATAATATTTTGAAAAAAGGGAAGTAATGCTTCTTTAAGATATGTAGGCAAAAAACTGAGGAGCTGACAGCTGGTATCATGGACTTCAAAGGAGCTGGGCAATATCATAGTTGACTCCTGAGAGAATCACACTTTGGATTTTCATACTTCTTCTAGGTCAACTAAACAGCCCTAAATACTTCAGGGTAAAAGTTTAAAAGACATTCTTTGTTATTCCATTCAGACTGGAATACATAAAATCTAGCAAAGAATGCTTTTTTCACTTTTCCCCCAAAAGTTCTGCTTTTTAAGCAGTTTATTATAGGGTAAAAAGAAGAAGCAGGGAGAAAAGAAACACCACCCAAAAGAGACTCAAAAGCTGAAGCAAGAGGAAAATATTCCTGATTAAACTAGGACTCCTGTAAAAACTAAAGTTTCTTTTCCAAGCTGGCTTATGACCATAATAAAGATTGATCTGATTTTTTTTCCAAAACTGAGCTCACCTCTTAATAACTTTATGGAATTTTCTGGGCAGTAATACTGAAATAGTGTCCCTTGGCTGTTTGTGTATTATTGTTTTTAACTTTCTAGTGATCCTTCACTCCAATACTGACTAGAGCAGTGATGGCGAACCTTTTAGAGGCCGAGTGCCCAAAAACTGGCCCGCTCCCGCTCCACCCCGTAAACCTCCCCACTCTGCCCCCCATCCCCCACCCCACCTGCCCACAGGGCCACTCACCGCCTCCAGGCCCACCGCAGATCGCCCAGGCAGCCCACCAGCGCTATGGCGGTCATGCCCTCTGCCTGCGCTCTGCAGCATCAACTGTGCATAATGGGGTGTGAGGGCAGAAACTTGTCTATGCTGCCTGGCTGCCATGTCCTTGGCTGTGCTGCTCTGGGTGGGCCACGCTCAGGGGCGACTCTCCTTCAGGGGGGCTGCTGGAGAGGAGGGGGTCATGGGGGGAGGCGAGGCTGGGGCAACGGCACGTGTGCCCACAGAGAGGGCTCCAAGTGCCGCCTCTGGCACCCGTGCCATAGGTTCGCCACCCCTGGTTTAAAGTATATTTTTAGACCACCCCCCCAAACTGTTTAGATGCTGCATTATGGATATAATGGTTTTCTGTCCATATATTCCTTAACATAGCTCTGCTGGAATCCTTGGTCACTTAATAATTTATGTAGTGGCTGGTATTTACCAGGACTAGCCTTGCCAAGTTATTTAGATGAATTTAGAGGTTATTTAGATGAGTTAGGCATCAGAAGCACAATCTGGATATTTGAATATTCTGCAAGAAATGAGAGTCAACTAAACATTTATGGAATTACAAAAAGGATTAACTGAAGCAAAGTTAGATGTTCTTGATCAGGCAAAAATTGTGCTTAACTTTGGCAATTATTATCTGAAAGTAAAAAATTCTAACTGAGCAGAGCTGAGAAATACCCAAGGCCTAGTAAAGTAAATGGAAGCGGGGGGGGGGGAAACCTACCGCTTTCTTACAGGAAACAAAGACAGCATGACTTAGTGTGATTTCTCCACCAGCATCAAATATTGATTCATGCTTTTTTTTAGTCATGCTCATTAAAATTCTCCACCCAAGATTTTTTTATAAGGCAGTACAATAATAACCAAATATTGGGGAAAATATTCATATTTTCAGAGTTTCTAATAATTAAGATGAGCCAGTTTGGTGTAGTGGTTAAGATACCAGGCTAGAAACCAGGAGATTGTGTTATTTTATCTTGGGTTTTACAGAATGTACAGAATATGTAACATATGTAAAATTGCGCTTCTTTGGGCACACTGATTCTTGATTTGCCCAGACAAGGTGCTTACTTCATCTTTGATGTTTTGGGTCTAACAAGCAAATAAAAAATTGTGTATGGTCTAAATTTACTTTCTTAGTGACAGAATTGTAATGGTACAATCTGGTTTTCAACTTTTTGCCCTTGTCTAAATAAGAATTATTTGTGATATACACATTCAGGATACAAAAACTGAATTTCATTTATTTAGGTAACTCAGCATGGGGTCAGTTTATCAGATGCTTTAGGGGGTACTTTTGGTGCTATACCAAGGACTAGGACTGTCACAGCAAAATAATTAATAGGATCAATAGGTTGATTCATGAATATGTCTTCTTTGTCCTTTGTTAGGATTTTTGGAAATCTTCAAATTATTTTGAAGTTTC